CCCGGCCCCTCTGAGGGAGCAGCTTTTGGCGGGAACTCGGTTTCCCCGTGGAGGGACGAGGGGCTTGCACAGAGGTGTTACCCGTTTGCGGCTTTAGGGCTGGATTAAACGCCTTTTAAAAGGCTCTTTAGCCTAAACGTGGGCTGTTAAAACCGTGTTTATCGCCCCGCTAACTTCCCACCACAGCGTTTTCTGGGCGCAAATGGGTCAGTGAAAGGACCGGCTTGGATTTTTTTTTTTTTTCCTACCTTGTCCTATGAAGGGACGTTGCAATGTTGAGCTTTTTGTAGCGTGCCAGGCACGTCGTAGAAATTTTGCTGATGAAGCTTTTTGTTGAGGATAGACTCGTCTTGAGGAGACTTTCTTCCAAGGGAGCCTCTTCTCTGTAACCTTTTCTGTTGTTTTTGAAGGGAAAAGAGAGTGTCATCTGTCTCCTGTGAAGCTGGACAAAATTTTGACAGTTCTTTATTTCATTTGCACACGTCTATATTTTATGTTCATGTTTGCATCATGTAAGATAAAATATGTAAGTGAAGTATTACTACTTTTTTTTTGCTTTAGGGTGGATATTGTTGGTTTTTTCTCATTTCCATTTTGGTGAAATGACACTAATGCCCGGTTCTGGGTGCTGGTGCACGAGTGGCATGTTTTGGCTGCCTGGGCTTCCCTGGGAATTACTGAGCCGTGCGGGATTTAATTCACATGTGCCATCTTCCAGGATCTGGATGTTTGTGGCAAGGCAGAGGTCAGAACTAGTTTAACATCAGGGAAAAGATTTGGGTCCCTTCCTAGCCTATGCAGAACTCTTTTCATTGCTCCATTTTTGATAAGATCTGAAAGTAAAAACACCTGTGATTGTTAAAAGTGGCGGGAATCCTCAGAAGGCGGCAGTGGAAGGAATGCTGACACAAGCTGGCTATGGGCATTTTGGCCACAGTACTGTTTTTACTCTCTTGTTTGAGTGATGTGGTGTTATAAATGCTGATGTTTTCACCAGTGTTTTCTCACAGAGGTGAGAGCAGGAAGGAGAAATGCTAACATGAATACAGTTTGTTTCATCAACTTTAATGGGACTTTTAAATGTCACCTGGTTTTCAGTTATGATTTTTCTGTGGTGTTCTAACTGGGGCTAACAAGAAACAAAGCCCTTGCTTTCCTTTTAAAGTCAGTTTTAGTGAAAATAAGCTTAGAGCTGCACCATCTTTCTCTTGTTAGGTAGTTTTCCAGGATGCAGAGGGAAGACCAGCAGACTCTGTTAGTATCTTCTTTGACATCAGTGTGATGTTGTACGCAGTTGTTTGTTTGGACGGAGGATTTCTGAAGTGAAGAGAAATCTGGTGGCATTGCAGTCCGTCAGGTAGGACAGATCACTGTAAAATCATAATAAGTGCATACCGTAACTCTTTCTCATTTTTTCTTCTGCTTCTAGATCCTCAGTTATTTTACCTAAGTTAAGGGATGGAAACATACACTAAAGAAAAAAAATCACCCTTGGGTCTTTGGCATTCATATTTGTGTGAAAGAATCTAGGATGTTCCAAGAAAACGCATCAGCCAATTGCTTAAATATAGTAACAACATCTACTGAAGATGGTGCTTTCCAAAAGAAAGGCCATAGTGCAAGAATCCTTAGCCCAGAAGAGGCTGAGAGACTGGCAAAAGATAGGGTTTTGGTGTCTGAGTTCAAACAGCTAAAACTGGAGAAAGAGGCACAGAAGAACTGGGATCTATTTTACAAAAGAAACAGCACCAACTTCTTCAAAGACAGACATTGGACAACCAGAGAGTTTCAAGAGTTAAAAGCATGTCGGGAGGTGAGATCTATACACTTCCTATGTAAAAGATGGGATTGATGGTTTCCAAATGATTTAATAATACTTACAACAAAGCCACTAGGGTAAGAGCTGGCACATAAGTTTGCAGTGCCCTGTGTAGTTTCTCTTGATATCAGATACCTCCTCAGAAACAGATGCATCAGTTCGGTTTCAGTTTGTAATTGACTGTCGTGGTTTAGCCCCAGCCAGCAGCTAAGCACCACCCAGCCGCTTGCTCACTCCCCCTACCCAGATGGGATAGGGGAGAGAATCGGAGGAGTAAGAGTGAGAAACACTCCTGGGTTGAGATAAGAACAGTTTAATAATTGAAATAAAGTAAAATAGTAATGATAATAATAACAATATAATAATGTTGATAATAATAATAATATACAAAGCAAGTGATGCACAATGCAATTGCTCACCACCCGCCGACCGAAACCCAGACAGTTCCCGAGCAGCGATCGCTACTCTCTGGCCAACCCCCCCCCAGTTTATATACTGAGCATGACGTCATATGGTATGGAATAGCCCTTTGGTCAGTTTGGATCAACTATTCTGGCTGTGCCCCCTAAATCCAAAACACAGCACTATGCCTGCTACTAGGAAGAAAATTAATTCTATTCCAGCCGAAACCAGGACATTGACCCATACGGGGTACTAAGAACGAAATCTAGAATATTTGTTTTGTGTCCTAAATAGACAACTTGTCTCTCTGTGATGTGACGTTTTCAGATGCAAGTTGGTGCACGTTAGAACACTACTTTAAAGAAAAGCATCCAGAATTACAGGCTAATTGCAAAACATCGTTAAGGGGAATAGCTAGATGCATCTGTTGTTCGTTGTAGCTGAATGAAAGACAAGACAGAAATGGTACAACAATCTGTTGATTACTTAAGGGGTAGATGACTAAAGAAATATTTATATTCTAAAAAGATTTGTAATTCTGCAGAAATCAAGATTTCTGTTTTGTAGTGTCAGATTATCCAGTGGATGTCTACTTTGGTTTTTGAATCAGTGGTAATTAAAATTGATTATAGCTTTTAAAATGCTGATTGAACAGTGTCTCTGCTCATATCATGAGGAAAACAAAAATGATGTGCTTTATTTTGGATTTCTTCCTCCCCAGTTTGCAGATCAGAAACTGACCATTCTGGAAGCAGGCTGTGGGGTTGGGAACTGCTTGTTTCCACTCTTAGAAGAAGATCTGAATATTTTTGCATATGCCTGTGATTTCTCTCCTAGAGCTGTTGAGTATGTGAAGGTTGGTGTGATATTTGGAACTTCTTTTAGAGTGTCTTTAGAAGCTTCTGAAATGACAAATGACTGGAACAAGACTTCTCTTGCCTTCCTTTTTGTAAGAAGGGTAGCTTTTGCCAAAAAACGGAGACTCGTCCATTTCAGTGGAGCTTCTATGCAAGAAGCTGAATCATTGCTCAAGACCTAGTTTTTCGTTGTCAAATTGTAGCATTTGGTAATATATGTATATTACTTGAATGATTTGTGAAGACTGTGTTTTTTTGGGAGCACTACTATGTCTCTGCTGATTGTGCAGCGCAAGCAAAATTTGTTGGGGACAGAAGCTTGCCCTTGGTATTTGTGGGGCAGAGGGAGTCCCAAGGAGAATCTTGAAAAGAGGCCTATGAAAGTTATTGTTAAGGAAATTCATAGCCTGATTAGACTTGTTTGTAGGTGGGCGGTGCTGCAGTCCAAAGTTAAGTCTTCCAGCAAGGTTGGGTGGGGGCTTTGGGGTTTAAAAGTCTCCTGGTTTATTACGTTTCTAATCACAGGTAAATTTCTGTCTATCTGTTGTTTGAAAACGTTCTCTTTGTGACGTTTGTGACTGAGAACCACAAGACTGCATGTCTCATGGGAAAGATGGGAAGAAATACGTGTGGCAAACAGGAGGGGACAGCAGCTCCCTGGGATGCCACAGCTGCACTGCAAGATGAGGTTGGGCTGAGTGTCTGCCCTGGGTTTTGGATGACTTAGTGGTGTCTGCTTCCACAGCTCTTGCTGAACTTCTTTCTTGCCAAGACCAGGTTTCCTTTTACCCAACAAAACTGTGGGCTAGAGCAGCCCAGCTGCATGTTATGTGACATGAACCCAAACTGTTTACAGTCTACTTGTAGCTCAAGAGCTGTACTTTGATCACCTTGTAACGCAAAATTTCTTTTAATGTTTCTGTGTTTTTAAAGAGTAGTTGTAGTTTCACTATTGTAGTATGCAGCAAAGAATTTCTGATTGCATTAGTCACCTGTTGGAAGTTAATGTTCTCTTGCCACCATGTGGATGAGGGGATCGAGTGCACCCTCAGTAAGTTTGCA